AACAAGTATGAGAGCATGTATGAAATAATTCAAAATAAGGCCTGACCGACTCAAACAGGCGCTGAGGAATTAGTGGCTAAAAATGTCTACCTTTATGGATCTGGCAAATTTGCATTAATACTTTGAAAGTTTGTCAGTAGAATGAGTTCTACCTTAGAGGGATAGATAAGTGCAACTTGGAAACAGAGCAAAAAACAAAATGATGATCTGAGCAGGCATAAGAAAGCATGACTCACAGAATAAATGCACATTGAGAAAGATACCAGGAAAGCAAAGTACCAGAATGAGGAAAAGGTAGCAGAATGTGATTACTTTGGACTTTTGAACAAGTTTAGTGGGCGATAATTTACTCATGCTGCTTTGAATTTCTTCTGCTGGAAATCTAGTTTGCTGAACTAATTCAAACTCTTAGATGATTGACAGGCAGACTTTGCATAAAAGGTAAAAATAAAATAAAAAATACTTGAAAGCTTGATCCTTTCTTTTTTGTAACTGGAATGCATATCTAGAACACAAAGTTAGGTAAGACAATGAATGCATTTAATTTCTGCCTCTTTTGATACTGAATGAGATTGCAATTCATTCTGTTAGAAACTACCTTAAACTATATTTCTCTACTTTAATTTTTCAGATTGTGGCTTCCATTAGAGTTGATGACATAAGTTTTTCTTAATTATGCAGGAATAAATCAAAAGTAATAATGCAGCAATCTGTGGAATTAGCCTGGATATACAACAACTTAATTGGAAACAGAATTTGAATCACTAATCTAATTTTTTTTTTTTACTGCTTTGTATGTGTGTATATCTTGCACTGCATTAATTATATATGAAGAATATTCCAGGAGCACAAACTCACTTGTAACTATTGTTTTTCTTTTTTTGGCTGACAGTCATCTCTATATATTGCAATATAGATCATTTAGGTAAGAAATAATTTCTAGGGAAGTTACAGTAGGGATAGAGGAATTTTAGAATGATATTACAACAAAAGTGATGTAAATGCTTTTGATCTACCTAAGGGCATCTTTTTTTTTTTTTAATTCCAGCTCATGAAATACATGTGGATTCTAAAGCCAAGACTGAGGAGTAGACAGCATATAAGAACAGAGAACTCTAAAAAGCATTGAGGGGGACAGCAGCAGATAGCAAAATGTCAGCATGGTTCTTTGTTTTGCTATACTGAGGTTCCTAGAAAATGCCCAGGAGCGGAAGTTCAGGTAAATCTACCCCCACAGCTCATTCTTCTCCAAGTAGTAAAACTTCCAATGCCACACACATCCTTTTTTCTTCAGTTTAAATCTATATTTTGCAGTAGACTTTTAATGAAAGTGTAGTCAACAAAAGCAGCTCTCTGGAGGGGAAAATGATGAGGACTGGATAGGCCACACACATACAATTTCCATTTCCAGATAGTGGCAAGATACATTCTGTGGTCTTCAAGAAATTTTGCTTAATTTGTTATATGCTTAAAGCATTGGAGAGAATGGATTTGGGAGATTGTTATCAAAGACATCTGGCAAACAGTCTACACTGTAAGCTGGACATCTATATTATTTTGATGTTTCAGGTTTGCCACTTCCGCTCCTGACTAGCAAAATTTATTCAGTCCCACAGATGCAAATCAACAGCTGGGTGGTCACATATACAATTTCCTTCCTTAGTTCAAAGACAGAATTTCAATTCTGTTCTTGGCAATTGTCAGACAGGAAATGAAAAACTGGAATAAAATTTTGTCATGAGAATATTTTTACAAAATTGTATTTTTTCCCAGGGAAAAATCGTGCCAGTAGGAAAATTTCCAGCTCACTCTAGTCTAAATCTTTTAGTCATATGAGCGTATCTTTCACTATTGACCTCTTACCCAAAAAGCTTTCATCACTAGTATTCTTATATGAGTTCTCTAGCTGCCAATACTCCGTTTGGAAAAGGGAGATTTCCATAGAATGGCACTATGCTCAGCCAGGCCAATTATACTGAATACTGAAGTTCAAGGTTTTGGGACATGTTAACAGTGTTTATTATTATGGTATTCTGTAAGTGATGGCACCTTTGCAGAGTCTTTTACGGATATAACGAATATATATGTTTGTAAAAACAAACATTTTCGAGTGATCTCAGGCCTATAGACAAAAATTTGTAACCTTCACACCTGAAGAAATTTTTATTGCAGTATGCCAGAGCAAATCTCATTGGTCTACATTCTAGGTTTGATATCTCATTAGAGTGGATGATTAGTGAATCCTTAGATTCTCCAAGGCTAACTTTGTGGGCTCAGACACATGGGAATATGGGACACATTCTTGACCCATGAGCTCAGCAGCCTCCAGAAAGAAATTTTGTTAGGATCAATTCACTGCTTCTCTTACAAAAGTCTCTGAAGGTATGACAAAAGGACTGTCCCTAAGAGCCTTTCTTTTTCTTTATTCATCCACAGCTCCAGATATGGAAGAAGTGTGAACGGTGGGCAGGCAAGCACGTCAAAAAACTCCTGATCCTGTGGGAACTAAGAGATTTTTTTTCTGCAAGTATTGCCTTGGGGAGCTACTCCCCTGGAAGAGATTTTAAACCTTTTCTGCACCCATACATATGTGCCAAAGGTATTGATTAGAAATCTTTATAAGAGTAGGACTCCAAATTGCATTATCAAGTCTGAAAATTGAAATGAAGACAAAGTGGTAAGCACAAAGCATACAGAGCTCCAACTAGCAGCATTATCTCTTTTACGGGCTACGTAGGCTGTAGGGTAGTAAAGTTCACTTGGATTTCTTGCTGTACACCACAACTCTGAACGTGAACACCGAGGCACCTCACAGACCCCTGTTAGCTTGTACAACCAGCAGGAGCTGGGGAAGTACTTCCAAACGTTTCAGCCAGCTTCATGTCCAGCCTCCCATTGGACAAGGAGGTTAGTTGTAGGAAGTACACGTTACACAAGATGACTGGATGGTCTGTGTGCAGCAATAAGGTAGTTACTTGTAGTCTAAATTTCACCCTGGTGCACGCAGAATGGAAAAGACACAGCCCCAGTTTAACTCCCTCACTTGTTGGATATGACCAATATAAGAAAAAATGTTGGCAGAGGTTCCTAAGAGTGTATCCTCACACACAGACACCCAGTGCTCACCTTAGAGCAACTCATAGAAGCAGGAAGATCTGACCAAGGCATTTCATGCCAGTGAAAGAGGACCATTCATCAGTGCCCTCACCCACTGTGCTAGCACAAATATATATATATATGCATACACACACACACACACACACACACACACACACACACACATAAATGCACAGCCAGAGGAGAGTCAAGAATGTGAAGCAAATTCTGAGCTCGCTGTATCTCTGGATAGTGGTTGGAGGCACTAATCACATATATCACCAAAACCCTCACACAGATTACTTCCCAGAAGTTTCAAGCTTATGTGCTTATCCACAACATTCAGCAGTTCTCATATAGGTCACTCCTAAAGGCTTACATAAAATAATCCTGAGTCTGAAAATCCCCAAGGACCCATCACCTCAACAATAAAAAGCACATAAAAAGTGTGATTAAAAGCCAGAATAATTCTATAATTGAAAGAGAAACAGCCAAAAAGTAGTTAAAATGGAAAATACTTTCTTTCTTTCTTTAAACATGACAGCATAATAGCAATGGACCAACATTTTTACCTCGAAGAGTTGTCCTAGCTCAGAAGAAGAAAGTAAATCTTTGTGAACATTTTAATATTAATGGAATGATTCAACAGCACTTTAAAAGAAAGTGCTTTGTCTCTCATAAATGCTATGTGCACTTTATCCAGACTGTAGCATCTCTCATTAGTAAAGTGGTGGCCAAGACAAAAAACAAAAGACACAAAATTGGTGTGTTTCTGGCACCAGTGACTACTTATAGCTATTCAGAGTAGAAGGAAAAAAAGAGTTTTACAAATGTTTCAGAAATGCACATGTGGAATACTGCAGGTACTTGGAAGTTTTAATGTCCCTGGTTGAGATGCGAGGAAAGAGCTTCTTTTTTGATGATTTCTCACAGGAACAAAGCCCAGACTCATTCATTTTAACTCAATCATTAAGAAATGACTCGATAATAACAAGGTTGCATCTCTTTGACAATGAATCCATTTTCAGACAGGCTATTAATTGAAAATGTGTTAAGTATTACTTTCAGTATCTGTGCATTGTTTTAATGAAGTAATATATTAGAATTACTACACAATAGTAATATATAGCTAACTTCAGTATAGTGATGTATACAAATTGGAAAACAATTTGAATGAATCCTTTTTTTAGCATGCTCCTAGTGGCAGGTCTTAGTGTCAAAGGCAGATTAGACAAATTATAACTGTTCAAATTACAGTGAAAGAGAATGTAGAGAAATTCTAAAGAAGTGAAATGAAGATAGCTTCTGATAAGAAATGGATCTGAAGAAGGACTTCAGTTTGGATGGCAGTTACAGACTTTTCCAGCAAGGAAAGCAACTCATGGACTGATGACTACTCGTTGACATGTAGTCTCCAGAGCATATTCTCATGAGGACACACTGAAAAAATCATGTTTGTAGATGAGATCTTCAGCTACAAGAAGGAGGAGGGAAGAGGAGAAAGAACATGACAGCTGTTAATAAGTAGCCTGCAAAACCATGCAACTAGGATTGAGAGCAGAAGATGACAAAAGGGAGAAGAAACAAGGGAGAACTGTAAAAAAGAAGAGCCACAGAATAGAAGGAAATGGTATCAAGCGGCTGCTTGAGGGGGAGACTGCAAAAGAAGCTTTGACAATGAAGATAATGCATCTTAATTGCAGCCAAATAATTTGCTAAAACAAACCAGAGGTTGATCTGTATATATCAGAGCTTGATGTGTCACTGCAAAGTCACAACTGAACACTGTGTCCTAATGAACACCATGTTAAAAATCACATACTGCAGCAGTGGTAGGTACTCTTAGCAATTGTCCTCCACTGAAGAGAGAGGCAATTAAATCTTAGAGAAACTATTTTTATTGCTTTAATGATTATCAGAAACCAGACATGAAATAAATAAGTTAAATTCCTTTCCCGAATCTCTGAGTTGTTTACTTGCACAGGTATTGACAGGAATAAAAACAGGCATCAGTGCTGCACACAAGCTACGAGGCTCTGTTCCCTTTCAAAGCAATGAACTTTGTTGGACTGAGATCCTAGTGAGCCCAGAAAGGGAAAGAGAGCCAGTCTGCATTTAGGCCAAAGGGTTTTGGTTGACAGTTTTATTTCTTGACTGACTATACTTGATTCAATATCCTCTTTGATAGAATACTGCCAAGTTTTGCAGATCCAAAATACAACTTGCCTTTTTTGGTTAAAATTACAGTAATAACTTGTGTCCAGTAAGATACCAAGACCTATGTTACTTTTAGGGATAAACTATTAAATACTCTCAGTTCTTTATTACTACTTTTGTTTCTGCTGCTAATAAAAAGCCCACAGCCAAGTAAATCAAAGCATCCAGATGGAGTAGAAAAACAATTCACTCAAGAAATGGATTTCAGTTTCAGTTTTCCCGAGAAGCTTTTATAAACATTAAGAAACAAAATGCTTATGAAAAATGTCTGGTCAGTGTCCTTTTAAATGTGCCATGCTTATGGAGCATATGCAAAAATATTAGAAAGGAAGTCAAGTTCCTGTAGATCCTCCATGTCATCTGGGCGTTTGGAAGCCACTCATGCCCCAGCTTCAGGGTACTTGGTAATACCTATAAACCCAGAAAGCATCCATTAAAAGAAAGGTTTCTATCTGCTGTGTATAGGAGAGAAGCACATTGAGTTGAATATGTTTGGTCTGGGAAATCTGTTTTTGCCTGTTAAGTGGAGTTCTCCTTACATGTTAACAGAAAGATGAACCTAATGTTCATCGCCTCATGTGGTTTTGTGTGTCCCAGGAATACTACTACAGTCTACAACTACAAGGCTCCATCTGGCTGCTCAATTAGAGCCCAACATGACAACTGATTGTTATGCAAAAGCAATTGATTAGATTTTTATGTCCCTCAACAAGCTGACTCAATTACAATGAGTATAATTTTTCCCTTTTTTTTGCTTTATTGCTTGCTTATTTTGTTTTTTTCCAGTTCTGACACTGAAGTCTGTGGACTATCATACGCCCTTGCCAAGAGGATTTCCATTCTGGGAGCTTGATGTGTTGTGATGGGCAGTTGGGTGTTTTGGCAGCAACTTTGCCTAAGAACAGTCATTTATGCTCTGTTCAGACAGAATATTTGAGTAGCCTTGTTATCCCCCTCTCCCGAACAATCAGAAGCTGAACATTAAAAATTAACTTTGAGTTACTATCTGTTTATCTATCCACAATTTGCAAGTCATCCTACTCTCATTTTTAAAACTCTCCTTTTGAGATGAGGTAAGCTTTATCCTGAACAGCGTCAGTTTTATCAACTTTGCATAGGGTAGGAGCAAGATCCAGGGAAAAGAGGTGAGCAGGGACTGTTCGCTTTGCAGACCTGTTACACGCAGTATCCAGGTTGCCTCCCACATCTTCTGGAAGAATTGCCTTCCAGTGAAATTCTCTCAGTTTCTACTGATGCCCTGGGAGGAGAATTAGGCTGAGGATTTCTCCCAGCATTATGCAGATTTGCAGTGAGCTGAAGGGTAAATAAAGCTTTTTCTCTCCTGTGTATCCTGTGCTTGAGGGTGACATCTATGAGTTTACAGAGATTGGAGACTACTATAATTACTCTCCCAGGTCCAAGGTGTGTGTAAAGACAAAAACATCATCAAGGCTGCCCTTTAGCTGCTCTGACCATTAGAAATCACCAAAAGTATGGAAAGATAAATCACAAAGAAGGAAGAAAGCAATAAAATTGTTCATGACCTGCTAGAGACATTGCATTTTTCTATATCTGGAAACCTGGTTCAGATCCCAAATTCCTCTTATCCTGCCTGATTCAATGGGGTTTTAACTCAAATCTATTCCACTAAAAAGAGACAAAATACAGCAGGGTTCCATCATCCTTCATCTCCTATCCCAGTCCTCCTAGGTTTAAGTCTGCCTTATTTTAAAGTAGTTTCCAGGTATAATATCATTATGCAGAGATGTGGTAGATCATTTCTCCCTACACTGTAAGGCAAATACCTCCTTTTCTTGCACCTGAATAACGCTATTTGAGGAATCATTCGGGAAAAACATTTCACTTACAGTCTTATGTGTATCAAGTACACACATCCCAACAGCAAGAGGAGTATCTTCCAGCATACTGAGCCAGTAGTATAACCCTCTGCTGCTTCCCTGCTTGCTGCTGTGTAGAAGTCAAGGATTCTGTACATCAGCCTTTACTGTAGAGGAGAGGCAGGAAGTTAATTGGTTCACGCTACTTTATAATTCAGTTCTCTTGCTCCATAGTCTGGTTTTGAATTTCTGTTTTCAGGAGTTCCTAATGATGGTTTTAGTAATTGCTCTTTGCAAAAAAGCAGAGACAGGACGCCCCACTTTATTTCAAGGCTTTCTTTGAACATCATCATTTGAACAACGTCGTTCATGAGTTCTTTGGAATGAGCCTCACTGTTGCCGCAGGCAGCCCTTGCAAAGCCCCAAGGACACCTGCCTCTTTTGCGTTCCTATTGAGCTCTCTTAAAAGACAGTCAGACTTGCCAAAGTCCTGCAGCTCTGTGGTTACACGCAACACAGTTTTAGGTCAGCACAGGGCTTGCTTTGCTACCTGGTGCTGAAGATCACTGGCTTTCTCAAACCTTTGATTTATGGATTCATCAACAAGTGTGATTAAAGTATCTGGCTGGCTGAAGAACAGTTCACCAAAGAATCTAGGAAGAGAGGAATAAAATGAAGCATTTTTATATTCAACAATAACATATTTTTTCAGTTAGCATTTTAATATGAAAATGAAGCATTGTAACAGGAGCTAATCCAAGACAAATCCATTCAAATAGCCCTGCAGAAAAGCTGTTTCGGTTTCTTTTTTGTTTCAAGGAAAGGGAGACGCAGAAGATCTGAAGTCAGAGGAGTGAGCCCATAGAATATCAAGAGCCCGGGGAAAAAAATGGCAGAGTTAATTTTGAAGACTAAACCCCAGTCAACACTTAGTCCTTCACTTGTGAATGAGTTCCATAACTGGGGCATTGCAGAGAGGAATCACAGCATATGGAAGGTTTATAATAGACAAACTGACCATAACTTTAATTAAAAGCTATGAAATTCAAAGCTGAAGCTTAGCACAAAGTTGGACTAAGAAAGCGTAGCATTCTTACAATGCAGCAGAATAACTACTGTTTCATGTCTGCCTTAGGCAGCAGCACAAAGATGCTAAGTACCAGTACGTTCTGATTATTTTGAAGGATGTTTTGTTCTTGCTGTTGTAGGCGAGGCTGATGTATTAAGCCCCAAGATGTCTTCTACCCAGACAGCATTACTGGACTTGTTCCACTGTTGGGGGAGCCCCAAAGGTCTCGGTCTAACATGTGGTTGTTCAGGTTGCACCTCCTTTTCTGCAAGTGACAGACCTTTTCTGCAAGTGACAGATTCATTCTGAGTCACACCAGCAGACCTTATTAACAAAATCAGTCTCACTGTTTTATTCCTGTTAGCCCTGCAGAACCTACCAGCTAAGAGAGCCTGAGCTGGCTCCCATTCTGCTGAGGTCCCCACAGTTTTAAACCAGATCCCTGCAAATGTACTCAGAGCAAAAAGAAGCAGCAGTGTCTGAGAACCTAATTTAGGCTACTGAACTTGTAGAATGAAAAAGAACTCAGACTTGGGAACAACAGGGATTTCTCCCAAAGAAACTGAAAAAGCTGAAAAAGATTATTGCCACATTATTGCAATCACAAGTCCCTTTTAGTAAATAGCAGCTAAGCCTTTTCCTAGCTGAAGGTCATGCGGCTGATGTTATCTGGAACCTCAGGATTTAGAGTGAATAAAAATTTGTATTTTTTTATGAGTGAAAAAGTGAATCCTCTCTTCCTCTTGTGTGACTTTGTGCACACTCTGGAGCACAGACACAGCCGAATCCCTATTCCAGCAAATTCAGTGGGACTTTCATCACTGGTATCAGTCGAGGAGGGATTTCACTCACAGTGACAAATGCTAGATGTGTGTAACTACTGTATTTAAATGAATAAATAGCACAAGAATGAAAGAGAAGTCTCACCTAGTTAGGAAACCTGACGCAGGATCATTGCTATTTGGAAGTGCCTCATCTGTGATGAACAGAGTGAAGGATCAGTAGCAGGTAACATTTACAATACATTATTGTCAACAACATTTTTCAGGTCTAATTATATTGTCAATGCACCAGTTTCACCAAAGATTCTGGTACAAAAGCAAAAACACTCTGGATTAAAGGGTGTTACTCTTTGCAAAAGGTTGCAATACTGGTACTGTTAACCATATAGAGTGTTTTGCTGTACTATACAGTTGAAATTTAATTTCTCCACCATATGAAAAATTGAAATACTTAAGTAATAACATTCAACAACATCATCTGCCATCTGATAGTGCACAGAAACTGGGCAATTATGTTTCGCCTCGGGTGGCTAATAGGCCCATTTCAAATTTCAGGCATTATCAGATAATAACACTGCCTGCATCTGAGTATGTTATTATAATTATTAACCGTAAAGAAATGAGGGGGGGAGGGGAAAGAGGGGGAGAAGGATTGTTTTTAATTATTTAATTTTGAAGTGCAATAAGATAAGTTCATTGTTCCCCATGAGCTAACATTCAGAGACCAAGTGCTGGCATTGCTGCAAATTTAACTCAGTTCAAACTGACTTGTTTTCAGATTCATAAAACCTTATCATTGCTGTTTGGAATGAGCAGGTCTCTGAGCAGTAAGACTTGCCCAGAAACATTGCATTGGAGTAAAAATTGTAACGGGAACAGAAACGCTGAGAAATCTTCCATTAGAAGCCAGTTTATTTGTGATACTGTATTTAAAGACTGCTTCAGTGTTCCTGTTTTAGATTCATGAATATATTTTAATTTCTTAGCATTCAAACACTTCTAAGGATGTGGATTTTCAAAACCAGAGTGGAATAGACAGAGCCTACATAAAATCAGAAATATCCTTCACACATTTATAAATGCCCAAATGTAGACCCACAGTTATTTATTAGCTTAAAAAGAGGAGAATGGGCTTGTGGGATAAGGGCCCTTCATCTGGTCAAAATTGCACTGAAGGTCAGCAGTTTGCTTTTGTGGCCTAGATGAAAATATACAAAGGCAATTTACAGCCATTTTTGGCCAACTGCACATACTCCATTTCTGTACCCAGAGCAAAAATGACATAATATCTAGGTGAAATGTAGCTTTAGGCTTTACAGCTTTATAAATGCTTCAGTGCATGGAAGGAGTTTTTTTCCCTCCTATACAAAATTCAATAAACAAAATAATGTAGCGCAGAAATTAATATTAAGTTACAGAATTCAGAGGTTTCCACATCTCTCTGTTTGCTGTGATTCTGTGATACTGGTATTTTTCAAATGCTTCGGAAATGACATGCAAAGTGCTTTCACTGAGTGCTTTTTTTTTTTTTTTAATAATTTTCTATGGTTCTGTAGCAAAAGCTTTGGAAATAGGGAGGTGAGTTTACCCTTTGGACCCAAACAAAAGAAGACATAAAAAGACTGACTAAAGATTTAAACTCCTTTCATTATTTCGTAAGACTGCTCATTTCAATTCTCAAAGGTCATTTAGTGCACAAAAACACTATCCTGCATGAGAGTTATAACTGCTGTGTACAAAATGCACTTAACACAATTCAACAAAAAGCAGAGAATGAGAAGAGAAAGCAGTTAAAAACATACAATTTCCTAATCATCTGGAGTCAAACACTTCGTCATTTGAACAGGCACCATGACTCACATCACACCCGCACCTTCCTGCTTGCTCCAGTCCCACCACCTTCCCAACCTCCATATTAAGCATTTCATAAGCCAGCTTCATTCCTCTTCCACCATCACACTTTCATGACTATGTATGTGCTACAAATAACAGCCTGTTTCTGAAAAATGATCAAGAATTTAGTTTTCATGGGTGTCTTTCTCTATGAATATTGCACTTCTCATAAAAGATATTTTATAATTAGAAAAACAAAAGAAAAGTCCACTGCCCTCTGTGGTGTTAGACAGTGAAGGAAGAAGGGCACTGCTCCTCTAGGTTATTCAAAAGCAGAGCTACTTTACCTCCCTAAAGGTTGCCACGCTTACTAAAATATACCACTTCACATTTTTCCATTAACTAATCTTAACTACGCATGAGGATTTAGTTATAAGGCAGAAGGCTAATAGATTACAAAAAGATCCCCGACTCAGCAACAGCTGGTTTGATGAAGAGCAGGATCCCTTCCCGAGCCAGCAGGGCACTTACCACAAAATATCCTCTTATGCATCGAGCAGTCAGTGCTAGAGCTTTGCGACTGCTCCTGCATTTCAGAAAAGTGGGCAGCAGTCTCAAACGCCTCACTCCTGAACTGCCTCAAGGACTTCGTGATCCAGCTGGCCATATCAGAAAGAAAGAACTCAATAAAGGAGCGGATTCCCCCCCCGCCCACCGCCGGCATCGATAGGAAACCACTCTTCAATGAAGGCCGATGCTGAGGTAAAAGAAAGAAACCTTTACACACCAAAAGACATACAGTGCAATGACCAAATCAACTAGTTTTTGAATACTGATTTCATTAGTATCATTTTGAATATTGATAACAGTAGTTATCATATTGAGGGAAACAGTCTATCAGAAAAGAGCAAGAAAATTATTGGTATTAGACAGGGAGGTATGCTTTATTTAGGCTTACAGAAACCAAGCACATGAGTGAGAGATAGACAGAGGTAAACAAAAAAAACCCATATTGAATTACAGTCTTCAGTATGAAGGTGCTAAGACCGTAACCTCTGTGAGGCAAGGACAGTCTATTTTACCCATGTCTGTATGAGAAGGGCTCATACAAAGCAACCCTTCCCCTGCCAAGGGGTCCAAGAACCTCCTACAGCACAAAAATCCCCCAATTGCAGCAAGTGGTGGACATTTAACACCACTTCAGTGCGAGTCCTGCACTGAAATCATATATTGCCAATTAAGACAGTGGCTAAAGGGTAGTGCTAGAATGTAGATTATGAACAGTTTGAGTATATGAATGATGTCTGTGGTTAGGTGTTGACTGTGTGACTTCTTAGCGGCTGCTGAACGTTTGTATGAGTATTTTTCAGGGCCTCACTGTGTAGTTTGAGTTGGTAAATGCAGTTATTTAATGCTTTAGCCTTTCAGTGCCACACAAAAGGTAAGTAGAAGGGCTGTAGACGTTTTCCATTACTGCAGAACACTGCAGCTCAGCAAATTTTTTTTAAAGTACAATATTGATAGAGTATTTAGCAAATTCTTAATTGCAGATTCCTTGCTAGTTCCGAAACACTCCATATATTGAATATTAAGATATTCAACTCGATTTACTCTGAAATATAAGTAGATCACATCACATCTTTAAAAAACAAATGCAGGAATAAAACTATTTACTCGAGTGAAACACATCTCATAAGACTTGGAAATCTTTCTCTCTCTCCCTCCCCTCCTCCCCAGTATTTGGAAATGGCACTGGCCCAAGATACAGTAATCCAGTTTGTTCAGTGACCAAACTCTCTCATGCCTGGAGGATCAACTCGAGCAGCAGCACAGCCAGAATTAATTCATAAAGCTGAAATGTGAGCACCCTCTGAAAGTTGCAGTACCTGGGGTGCCTGAAATTCCATTATCTCTCTCCGTAAGTGGTGAATCTCAAGAGGTGGAATCACTTTTTCCCTGGCCTGTTTTCAATGGCAACATGTCAGGTTTTAATTGCCTAAAAGGGTCTTAAATTTAAAATGCTTTTCCCAGGTTCTTGGATAATTTAAATCCTTGACTAGTTCATTAAAAGGCCATTTGTGATGAGGCAGGCTGGCACATCTCTCACTTAACACACTCAGATCAGCTAGGAAGAGAAGTAAATAAGCAGCATTCCCTCCATGTTACAGCGAGCACAAATGTTTCTGAGCTCCCACGGTGGTGGAACAGGGGCAGGAACGGGTGTACTGTGGTTGAAGGGCTCAATTCTTTCTTGAACAAATATATAAGGTGAAATCCTGGCTTTTGTGAAGTCAGTGGTAAAATTCCCATAGCTTTCAATGGGACCAGATTTTCTCTCACAGTAACTCAATTAGTTCCAGAGGGTTCCTACAGAGTGAAGCCTTTGAAGGGGCAATGTAAATAGATAGCTGATCCATAAGGGTCCAATATAGCTCAATGGAAAAACATAAACCCAATAGAGTAACAACATGCAGTAGATGTATGCTTTGGCTAGATGCCTTCCTCAGTGTTTTGTATTTTAACTGTACGTTCTGTTTGTGTGTATGTATTACTTTAAAATGATTAGATACAGTAGTGGAAACTTGATTTAAAGGAGCATTCAGGAGATCAGTAAAAATCCGTTTCCTGATGAATGGAAATGGCCTTCTAATAAAAATGGAAAAGATTTATCCTCAAGACATTTGGGACTAACTTTCAGAGAAAGAGGTAATTGCATAGTAGGAATAGCCGCTTGTACAGGTTCTGTTTTCTATACAAAATTCATCTAAGAAGCTTACATTTTTAAGCAAAATTTTGGAAAAAAAATAGTTAAAAATAGTTAGGA